TTATTGTAGACCCTCCTATCCTTACGAGAGTGGACACCCAAAACTATGGAGTGTCCCAAAGCCTCCATATACTGTGGGTTCCCTGTATGTACAATATATGCCTACAATGTTGAATATAAATTAGGCATAGTAAGGATTAAAACAATGACATAATAAAATAGAACAATAGTGATGTGCTGTAATAAATGTTACATGAATGTTTGTTTTCTCTCAAAACATCTTACTGGGCAGCCGGGCAGCCAGCTTCAAAAAGGCTCTTGGTATGTCGTGGCCCACTGGCACTTGGGCATGTGCCCTCCCTGCCTGGCATCCCACAGCCTCCAGGCTCCTGGAGAATGCTGCTCAGTGTGTGCCTGGGAGTTGACAGAGTTCAGATCAGTGAATGAGCTGGGCGCGGTGGTGCACGCCTGTGATCCCAGCGGCTCGGGAGGCTGAGGCAGGAGGATCGCAAGTTCAAAGCCAGCCTCAGCAATTGAGTGAGGCTCTAAGAAATTTAGTGAGACCCCGTCTCTAAATCAGAAAATAAAAAGGGCTGGGGATGTGGCAAGTGCCCCTGGGTTCAATCCCTGATACAAAACCATCATAATAAAATTAACTTCAGTGAGTGAATGGAATATTAGAATGCTTGTATAGCTGGACATGCAAATTCAGGGGGCCTTAGAAGAATCCACAGTGTCAGGGGTTTAGGGCTGGTGAAAAATTGCAAGTAAGGGGGGCAGGTATGAAGGGTAAGGAGGGTTGGACTGAAGTAGCTGATGTAAGCAGGGAAAAATAGGACAAGATRCAGGAGAGATGGCAGAGAAGTGTCAGTGGGACCTGGAGTAAATCTACAGCCACATCCTAGGACAGAAACCGCAAAGACCATCCTTGAAAACATTTATTTTCAGGGTGCAGGAATTGGGACATCATGGCATCTATGAAAATATGGGTAGAAAACAGGCTTGACAGGAGGGCTGGGGGAGGGGATCATGCTTCATGTTCTAGGTCTGAGAAGAGGTCTGGGGCTCTCCCAGGTGACAAGCCATTAAGCTGGATAATCATATTAATCTGCTTTTTTTGGGTCTTGGTGAAAATTTCAGACAATGCAGCATTTCTTATTTTATTTATGTTTGCACGTAGATATACTGTTAAACCCAGCCCCATGCGGTCAGGATACTCGGCACTTCCACCATGGGGCTCCAGCCGCCCGATTTTCTGGGTCTACATCCTGCTGTCTAATTTTGACAAGGCAAATTTGAGGTGATTCATCTGATTTTGCAGAATGCGCGTGTCGTTCGGTGCATGATATGGTTGGGCTACCTCTCCGGAGCCACTGTTGTCCCTATTTCTTCTGACATAATTTCACTAAGTGTCTGGCTGAGTCATCTCTCAGCCMCACAGTTCATAGGGAATCAGTGGCAGACCCTAGTCACAGTGCAAGGAGGTGAGACGGGCAGGAGGTGCCCAGTGGGGAGGGAATGTGAGCAGGTCCCTTGGCAGCTCCAACACCCCATAGCCAATAGCAGCCAATTCAATCAACTTCAAATCTGATTTCATTCAAAGAAGGGGTCCCAAAGTTTCAAAGTTTGAAAATCACTCATCTGGTTTCCAGACCCCAGGCCAGGAGCTTCCCTCCTAGGACCCGGTGTGTCTTTGTCTGTAATGGGGAGGGACCTTTCATTTCTKCCCTGCTTGCCCTCCTAGGGTCAGGATCATGGGTGGGAAGGTGTTTCATGGACTTGAAGGGCTGTCCACAGTGGGAGATCTAAATTCTCACGTTCAGAAATTGTAATCACCTAGAAACATACTGTTTTGGACCAGACAGTAAATATTCCCCTTTTTTCATCAGGAAAAAAAAAAGCTTTATCCTCGAGGGAGGTCAACACGTCTGTAAGTAAAATGTGTCGTACTTCACCGTGACCCCACAGGCCAGAGATGACCCGGCCCCCTTTCAACAAGGCGAGGTTAGAAGCCAGGCCTGCACTGCCACCTGCTTAGGGAGGGATGGGCTAACAAGTGGATGGCTTGGTCCCCAAACACCAGCCAAGGGGCTTCTGAGTCCAGAAGACTGTCCATCTAGGACTAAGTCTACTTAGAATTGGAAAAAGGCAGGAGGAGGAGAGCCGTGACAGCTGTACGTCATGCATCTGTAAGAGCACACTCTGTTATGAGGCCATGATTTGTTTTTGAAGGAACATTATCATAAAAAACATGCGAAGACTATACTTCTATATATATATATATATTTTTTTTTTTTTGCCTGGGACCATCTTGCTCTAAGATGGAAGGGCTAGAAGGGGCCCTGGTGAGTAGTATCTAGTCCAAATGTCACAAGCACAGGTGGAGAGACCAAGGTCCAGAGAGGGGAAAGGACCTGTCCAGGTCACGCAGCAGGCCAAGGAGAGCCARGGCCCTCTTCTCTCCTTCTGTATCACACACTAAGTCACAGAGTGCCCACTTACTAGTCACAGACTCCAAGGTAAAGAGTCACAGTGCACACCTGCCTTGTTGTGAGCCCTTTAGAATGACAAATACTACGTGCTTTTCCCTGGGAGGGAACAGTTACAAAAGGATTCATTCCCAAAGTGTAAAAAAAGCTACATGCACCTCTGTTTCCCCACTGTCTGCCCTGCTAAAAACTACATCTGCATATGAATCTAGTTTGCATCCAATTTTAAAAAACATACAAAAGGGGTTATCTACAGACACAGTTTTTTCCTTAGTCTTCCCAAACAACAAGATCCGTGACTCGACTTCTCCATCATCCCGTGATCAATGTCTTGGAGACCCTGGAAAGAAAAGGGGAGTGGGGATTAGAGAAAAGAAGACTGTTCTGTTACGACCAACCCTGTGTTTATTGGGAAGTGGAGGGAAATTATCTTTAAATTCAGTATCCTCAGTACAAAAGGTGCAGATGGAGGGACTGGGAGCCTGGGAAGGGCTTCGTGGGGCTGCCTACCTATCTATTAACTATCTATCTATTATCTGTGTATCCACCATGAATTGAACCCCAGGACACTTAACCTCTGAGCCACATCCCAGCCCTTTTCATTTTTTATTTTGAGACAAGGGTCTCGCTCCGTTGCTCAGGGCCTCACTAAGTTGCTGAGGTTGACCTCAAACTCGTGATCCTCCTGCCTTAGCCTCCTGAGTTGCTGAGATTATGGGCGTGTGCCACTGCACCTGGCTCTGCRGGGCATCTTAGACCAATGGGTGGATTTCCCAGGGAGGTGACTTCAGCCTGATATGAGAGGAGACTTTTCAGCCAATGGAAAATGCCAGGTGTTTGTCTGGTGAGAGTGAGCTCTGTGCTCCTGGAGGCCTGTGAGCAAGAGCTGCTCCATACAGCATGGTGTCAAGGAAACACAAAACCTCAAAATGAAACAATGTGTGTATTATCTATATGGCATATGTTATTACAATGTATAGAATAACCTATTTTATATAGATGGATAAAATAAAAAGTCAAGTATCAGGAAGGCCTAACTCTTTGCTGAATTCTTACTTCATGGTTACACTTGCACATCTTCTTAGCCATTTCTGGGACCTCTAACTGCCCACAGACACCTGCCCTTGAACCCTAAAGCACTTCCTTCCTTGTTTTCCCTTGTTCTGGATGTTTCTCCTGCCTCAAGCCCGCACAGCTCTCCTGTTCCCTTAGCACTCTCCCTGATACCATAATAATGTTTACTTTCCATTTTTCTTGCATCCCCTACAGACCTGATGTAAGGCCTTGCACACAGAGTGGGTGCAACAGCAGAGGCCAAAGGCATCGTGTGGCTGAGGCCACAGCCAAATCCTTCTGCTCTTGTCCGTTTGGGTTTTGTTGGTACTGGGTATTCAACTTGGGGTGCTTGACTACTGAGCTCATCCTCAGCCCTTTTTGCTTTTTATTTTGAGATGGGGTTTTGCTAAGTTTCCCCAGCCAGCTTTGAACTTGTGATCCTCCTGCCTCAGCGTCCCAAGGCGCTGGGACTATAGGCGAACACTACTGCACCCGGCAAAATCCTTCTGCTTTTAAGAAACTCTACATACTTGTTTCTAATTTTTCCTGTTCTATCCAGACCCTGTTGGTCTGTCTTAGTGACAGAAGCTGTTCATGGCTCTTCTTCCATCCCTGGGAAGGGACCGTGCATCCCTGCCCATGGATTGAAAGGAGGCAGGATGTGTATCACATCTGAGCAGAAACTTCAAACGAGACTGTGTGCTTGGCCCAGCTTCTTGCTCGTTCCTTCTGCTGCAGAGTGGACATATTACATGTTGGGGCTGCTCCTCCAGCTGGGTCCTGGGCAAGGAGACATGGGGTGGAGTCACAGCAAACCCAGATCAGTGGCATGGAACGTGAGCAAGAGCTAAATGTTTGTGGCTGTGAACCAGCCAGGTTTGGGAGTTGTTATATAGCAAAAGTGGGCTAATTAAAGTGATTCATTTCCCAAGTTCACAGTTGTCTGTAGGCAGGGGACAGATGTGACCCCAGCTGTCACCTGTGTGACTAGGAAGACTAAGCCACCTGGCCAAAAAGAGATRCAGCGATCCTGCCTCCCTTCCCCTTCCCCCTGAGAGCCGTTGCTAAGCAGCGTACAGTAGTGGGGCCAGCAAGACAAACCTGGAGCTGGAGGGCTGTCCCACAAAGTGTCCCGGGAGGAGACAAATGAAGCCTAGCAGCCTTCTCTGCAGGAATGTTTCCACCTGGATGCCGTCACAATGACACTGTCTGCCCTCTCTCAGGGCTCAGTGGAAGTATTCCCTCCAGCCTCAGAAACTGAAACCACCATGGCTTTTCCACCTCATGGACACCCATCGTGTTCATGGCTCTGGGCATTGCACGCTGGGAAACTCAGAGAGAAACATGTGTGGTACCTAACAGAGGGTCCGCCTGCTCATCTTCACACGGCCCTGCTTTCCTCTGCTCTCCCCACTTATGTACTGTTCTCTTTCCATTACACATCTAATGACTGCCTCCGATCCCTTAGACGTGGGCGTAGGGACATTTCAATGACTGGAATGTATACATTACCCCATCACAGGAGGCCTGCTGGAGCCGGGGAGAGGGAGCTTCTGTATCTATTCAGATCCAGGACGGTCACTGTGCCGTGAGACCTGGCCTCCCCGACCATGTTGGTCGCATGACACTGGTACACTCCTTCGTCTTCCTTTTTCAGAGGGTTGATCTAGAAATACAACAGACATGTTTAGATAGTTGTATGTGGTAGACAAAAGTGACTTCCTTTTTTAGTTTTTTTTTGGGGGGGGAGGCAGGTACAGGGGATTGAACTCAGGGGTGMTTTAACACTAAGCCACATCTCCAGACCTTTTTATTATTTTGTTTTGAGACAGGATCTCACTAAGTTGCTGAGGCTGGCCTCGAAATTGCAATCCTCCTGCCTCAACCTCCCAAGGTGCAGGGATTATAGGCATGTGCTATTGCACATGGCTTCCCTTATTTAGTTCTTTTTTTTTTTTTTTTTGGTACCAGGAATGACACTCAGCCACTGAGCCACATCCCCAGCCCTATTTTATGTTTTATTTAGAGACAATGACTCACTGAGTTGCTTAGTGCCTTGCTTTTGCTGAGGCTGGCTTTGAACTTGCAATCCTTCTGCCTCAGCCTCCTGAGCACCTGGGATTGCAGGCATGCRCCAATGCAACCAGCCCTTATTTAGTTCTTAATGGTATGGCCGAACACTTGCTCCTCTTTAGAATAAGACCAAGCTATTTCTCTTTTGCTTTGGCTGCTGAAGAGCACACAGTGAAATTCCTTCTTAGGAACCCTCTTGAGGAGCATGCTCCCTATTGTGACTCTCATTTTAATGATTCCTTTGCATTCCTGCCTTTATGTGTATAAGCTACTTGGCCCTTTTATTGAAGTTGACAGATACAGATTATGAGGAATATACTGCAAACAAAAAGAACAACAATCTACTGTCCAAAGAAGGACCCCATAGCATGTTCCTTATGTGGGTGACCTTTACAAAACACCACCAGATATAACCTTTCCCCATCTTTCCTTGTAAGAAAATGAGGGAATGTGCACTGCATTCTGAGTCCCWCAGCTAGGTGAAGCATCACCAAACCTCCCAGGGCTAGGGAGGATAAGACTTCCTTATGGAGTATCCCTAAGTGCTCAYCACCAGATCTATAACCGGCTCTCTTCTCTTGTGCTCTCTCTTGCAATCACCGCTTCTATCACTCGCAAACCAGGCTATGCACGCCATCCCCCTCTGAACACACCAGTTGAACATTTTCAGCAAGTGTTCGGCCATACCATTAAGAATTAAATAAGAGCTGGTCGTGTTGGCGCATGCCTGCAATCCCAGGTGCTCAGGAGGCTAAGGCAGGAGGATTGCAAGTTCAAAGCCAGCCTCAGCAAAGGCAAGGCACCAAGCAACTCAGTGAGACACTGTCTCTAAATAAAACTAGTATCATTTTCAGGCCTGCTAAGGTCACAAGAAACTGAGGCTTAGAGAGGATAATTGTGACTGCTCAACATGGACCCCTAGCTCCTTGCTCCATGAGCCTTTGACACATATGACATTCCCTTATTTTGGCAAAAATGCTGCAAGTGACATAATAGAGCCCTGCAGGAGGACTTGAATGTGCCTCTTCCCTCTATCAGTCACATGGGTGTATTCGCTTCTCAGGGCTGCTGTAACAAACCGTCCTAGGCTCGATGGTTTAAAGCTCCGCAAATCCATCATCTATAGTTCTGGAAGTCAGCAGGCCAAAAGAGTCTCAGTGAGCTAAAATCAAGGTGTCAGCAGAATTCCTAAGGCCCTAGGGGACAATCTGCTTCTTTGCTTTATATAGCTTCTAGAGGACAACAGTGCACCTTGGTTTGGGGCCCATCCTCCTTCTGCAGGGCCAGCACTGGTGGGTACAGTCCTGCACATCACACCACCCTGACGCAGCCTCCTTCGTCCTCATTTAAAGTCTACTCCCCTCCCCTTTTTTGGGGGTTTTGGAGATTAAACCCAGAGCCTCCTGCATGCTAGGCAGGTGCTGCACCACTGAGTTATACCCACCCCCTAGCTTTTTATTTTTTATTTTGAGATAGGGTCTCACTAAATTGCCCAGACTGGCCTTGAACTTGCAGTTCTCCTGCCTTTAGCCTCTTGCATTGCTGGGATGATGGGCATGCCCACTGCCCCTGGCTCCTCACCCCATCTTAAAGTTGGCCATTCAGCAACCCCTCCCCCTCCACAGGTTCTGCACTTTAGGACAAAGACATCTTTTGAGGGCCACAGCAGCAGACCTCTTGTGCTCTCAGGAGGTACACAACCTGCCCCACCCACCTCAGGGCCACTAGATGGTCTTGTGAGCAATGGATAGAAACAGCTTTGAAAAGGGTAATGTGTTAMCCAAGGATCAAGGGTGCTCCATAGGGTGAGTCAGTAGCACCCAATAATCCTAAACACTCACCAAAATCCAGGCTGTGGCCTCGTGGTTGGAAGCTCGCACCTGGACAGCTATATTGGCGTGATCCCCAGGTAACTCCTCCAGCACCTCAGTACCRTCAGGGGAGTGTGTGACCTATAGAGCACGGAGAAACCGTGAGCAGTTTAGAGAGAGGACTTCTGGATCAGGACACCTCGCAGACATCCTCGCCACCCGCACACTCTCACTGTCTAAAAGGCTGAAACCCTAACACAGCTCATTCCTAAATGTGCGTAGAGACAGCACCCCCTGCTGGACATCACCTCACATCACCACTAAGGCGGCCGCAGTGGCAGAAGGAATTYTGCTGGTCTTATTACTAAGAGGGCTGCCGAGACAAGGGGACAGAAGACAAAGTYGACTGGTCTTCAGGAAGATTTGGGTTTGGAAGGGGATTGGGGCTTCTGCCATCAGCCAAGCCTGCCAACCACTTAGCTCCACAGTGAAGCAGTCTCTTGGGTCCTAGCAGCTCATGTAGGATAGGTGACAGCAGAACTTTCTGGGCAACTGAGGGACCAAATGGCACAGGAAGGATTGCAATCCCACTCCCTTCTCCGGGGAGAGTGCTGTGGTTTAAGTTTCTGAGGCAGAAAGTGATATACCAGGTACCTTTTCCTAATCCTCTGGCCCCCACACAAAGATACGCACACAAACCACTTAAAGAAAAAATACTTCCCACCCACACCTGCCTGGCAGTTTCTGTCTCTGTCTCTCACGCACAGACACCAACACACACACACACACACACACACACACACACACACAATGACGCACAAGTCTTGGAGACAAATACCTTCCTCCATGTGATGGCTGGGGTGGGCACGGCCCTCACCTCACAGGACAGGTATGCCTGCGCCCCGGTGACATTGTGAACACTCCGGGGTGGCAGGATGACTGCAGGAGCTGGGAGAAGAAGACAAGGGAACACACCCTTTACCCTGACTGGCCCCAAGCACCCCACCTCCACYACCACCTTGCCTGCTGAGGGCCTGGCGGGGCCTCATAGATGGGTGCTCTCTTCAGACCTGGAAGGTTCTGCTGCTCTTGTGACCTGCTCCCATTGTTTCACCACCAGGAAACTGGCAAGTTCCCAAGCTCAGTGGCAGAGCCTGGGTCTCAGCATACCCCCTCCCCRGCCCCTCCCTGGCTGCCATCTGCTTATTCAGCTACAGGATGGGGGTGGCGGACTCCAAGAGCACCAATGTCACATCACCGACGGCAGAGACTTCAAGCAGATGGGCGTTTCTGTTTCCATGTGCRGGGTGTTCCAAAGGAGAATGCCATGCCCCATGGCTGCCACACCCTGGAGCTGAGCCCTGCCGTCCACTCCAGATGCCACCGTCTACATGGGCACCACACAGACACCATGGACTCCCCAGCCCCAAGTGCAGACCTGGAAACCCAGAGGCCAAGGGAGCAGAGCCAGGGCTACTCAGAAAATGGGGCAAATGCCACTCTAGGTTGCCGGGATATTACAGGGGTAGGGGGAGGGTGGGCTCTCTGGAGGGGACCTGGGAGCACACTGGCATCAAGTTAAAAACTGTTAGTTCATGCTCCACGCCCTGCTTCCTCCTGCCCCTGGCTTCTGCCCCCACTGGGCTGTATAATACCCAGTCCAGCCTCCTCGGCCTTCAGACCCCCATCCAGCCTCCCCCCAGTGCCCTACTTCCCTCCAATGGGATACACCCACTCCCACAGCTCCCCAGGTGGGCATCTCCCCCAGCCCACAGGGCCTGGYTGGGAACTTTACCCAGGACCAGGGGGCTGCACCTCTTGGCTCTGCTGAGTCCAGCTGGCCTGGGAGTCCAGGTGTATCTATGCAGTCTCACCTGTGCTGACGGCCAGCTCAGCACCCTGGCATCCAGCCCAGGTGTCCTGGGCAAGGAGCAAGGTGGAGGCCTGGCCAGTGACATGCTCTTGGCTCAGGCCTCSTCCTCTGTAAAAYGGGGATAAYAACCCTGCTCCCAGGCTGCTGAGTGGGTCTACCCATGGAATGAGTGACAGAGCGAGACACAGGGGACGGGGCTCAGGTCTGGCCAACTGAGRAGACTAGATGAAGAAATCCCTGGCAAAGAAAAGAACAAATTCGTTCACTCCAGGGCCATCRAACTACAGAGGCTTGGTGACTCTGAGACAATCCTGCTTTCCACAGCCTGCCCTAAGAGGGGAAGGTCCTTGTGCAGTAAGAAAGGAGAAGTGGGGGGGGGGGAGGGGGAAGCAGGCAGGAGGCTGGGCTGGTGCAGAGATCACCGGAGACCACCTGCCCTCCTCGGAGGCTCTCCTGGTAAAAAAAAGCTCAGCCTTACCTGGAGCTAAACCTGCGTCTCTGTAATGGCCACCTGCTGACCCCAGGACTGCCCTCYGGAGCCCACAGCCCGCTGGGTGCCCCACAGCTCTCCAGGGAGTTGCATGCAGGGACTCCCCTCCCCACCCAGGAGGCTCCCCCCACTCCTCTGCCAGGCCCATCTGCCTGCCCTGTGAAGGACCCCCCCCAGCCCACGCTTACCCAGGAGCCATGGACTTCTAACCTGCCCGCAGCCACCCAGAGCCCCACACCCAGGCTCGCTGGCAGGGACCCCATCTGCGATGACAAAGAGGCTAATTTATTCACATCCTCCTGCCAGCGCCTCCTCAGCCACACAGGCGCTGGGATGCCAYCTTCACCGGAGCCCAAACCCGTCCCCAAATGTCTCACTGCGGGAACAATCAGAACCGCCTCTTATTCCAGAGCCCCCGGTAGATTCCAAGGGGACGCTGGATCACCGCGTTTCACTTCCATTCATGTAAAGTCATAAATTTTAAATGAGATTTCATCACTCCCTTTCAGGCCTAAATGAATAAACCAGCAAATCCCATTTCCTCTTCCTCTCTCCAACAACGACAATTAAGGACAACTGCCTTGGCAATCCTGGGTCTGCCTGGATTTCATGGCAGGAAACACCATTTCTTTTTACAAAAGAGACCCCGCTCAAAGGAACATTGAACAATYATTCATTTGTGAATTTGCATGTACGGACAAGGCACTCTTCTTGGTTCACAGTTTTGACAAAGGCAGGCAGTCAGGTAACTCCCAGGATCCGCAACCGTTCCATTAGCTCAAAAAGCGCCCTCATGCCGTGCTTTGCCATAATCATCTGCTTTTAATTGTAACATGGTYGGTTTTAAAACTGAAGACATTTTCATCTGTAGCAGCTCTTCATAGTCAATAATATTCTCAGTAACAATGGTAATGACTACCGGCTTAACATGGCACTTGCTGTGTGCTGAGGGTTCTTCTTTTATAACCGAGCACTGAGCTGTTCATCTTTCCAGGAATCTTCTCGGTTGCCAGATGGGGGCACTGCTCAAGCTGCCCATATATGTATTTCTTTCCTTTTTTTTTGGGGGGGGGGTGGGTACTGGGGATTGAACCCAGGGCACTTAACCACTGAGCCATATCCCCATTTACTTTGAGATAGGGTCTCACTAAGTTGCTTAGTGCCTTTTTAAGCTATCGAGGCTGGCTTTAAATCTGAGATCCTCCTGCCTCAGCTTCCYGAGCTGCTGGGATAACAGGCTTGTCCCATGCTATCTTTTAAAGTGAAACATTTGTTATCTGTATGGACTCCATTCTACAATGAGAGATTAGTTATTTAGGGGTTGTGCTGGGGGTTCCCAAAAAGAATCCTCAGGTCCAAAGTTTTACTAGGAGGATTCCTAGGACTCAGCATATGATCCTACGGATGGCTCTGATTGATTTCAGCAAAGCATAAAAAGCAGATCACCAAAGGGCAATGTTACGACGTGGGGGACCTATGCTCCTAAGAGCTCATTCCTTGGGGTTGCACTGGACACAGCCATGGACAGAGAAAATGCGTATGATGCACTGTGTGCCTGGAAGCGCACAAGGGACTGTGCCCTTGCTTGGACAGCCCAGTCCCCATTATTACCCTAAATATATGACACGGGGATGCTGCCAGAGGCAGGAGGGACAGTGTGCTAGCTGGGACAGAGGAACTCTGCTTTGAATTCTATCTGTACCATTCCCAGTGTCATGATTTGGCCCTTCCCCTTTTTATTTATTTATTTGTTTGTTTGTTTGTTTATTTATTTAGTAAGTACCAGGAATTGAACCCAGGGGTGTTTAACTACAGAGCCACACGCCCAGCCCTTGAATTTTTCATTTTGAGACAGGGCCTTGCTAAAAGTTGCTGAGGCTGGCCTCCAACTTGGGATTCTCCTGCCTCCGCTTCCAGAGCCACTGGGATTACAGCTTTCTTTAAAAAGGGCACAGGAGCCCCTTTATCCCCTTGCCCATTCCTCGTGGGCTGCTGTGAGAAGGAAGAGTTCCAAGACCCCCACAAGTTTACAGAGGGATCCAAAGTTGTGGCCGGCTGTCTTATCTCAGGGGCAGACTCTTCCATGGTGCCTGGCCTGACTGCAACCTTCTGCTCACTTCTGGTGACGGGGCCCATCAGGGTTCTTCCTGGAGGCACCAGAGGCCATGACCCACAGCCTTCACCCTGGCACCCACACATCTTCTCACCTTACCATTGCCAAAGCCTCCATAATCCCTGAAGAACCAGGTCTTTCCTTCCCACCTGCTTTTGATAAGAATAACATGGCTCTTAGGAGGGAGACGGCACCTGATCAGCCCAGCCTCTGTGCCAGCTTCATCTCTCTAGCTCCTCCTTGCTCAATGCTTCTGTCCTTCTGCTCGTGCTAACAATGGCCCTAGAAATAGAGAGGGCACAAATCCAYCCACCCCGAAGGCTAACCAGCAGGTCACATGGCTAGCCACCAGGTGCGCATGGTCACAGGAGGCAATACCATAGTGTGGGCAAACAGAAGCGGAGGGAGACTCAAACACCTGGGGTCCAGGTACCGAGCATTCAGGACTGGGCAAGTTGGGACTGGGCAAGTTGCTAACCATTTCCTCCCTGTGTGCAAATGAAGAGAGTGTCCGCTGCCCCACCCTCTGGGGGGCAGGCAGATAATGGATGTGACCGTGGGGATCTGCAGAGATGAAAGGGATCAATATTATTATTATCGTGTGAGGTGATTGGTCTCCCTAGCCCGTCAATTAAATGGGTCCTCGATGGCTGGAATAAAAGATCTTCTCAAATGCCTCTGAGATTTCTTTAAAGTTAATGGTGCTAGGGAAAGAAAGAATATCCAAAGTCATCCCCCAGGCCTCATCTGCTTGTATTAAGAAGTGCACAACCAAAGAGTTTAATAATCAACGCACTGAGCAGCCCCGGTAATTTATGCTAATAGTCACTATATGACGTGGAACAGCTTAATCCCGCTCCCTGCAGCCCGTGCCTCAAATCCCCTCCCTTGGCAATGAAAGGCTTTTGAACATGAGGCCCCTTTCTTTGTCCCTCTCACAAAGTGGCATTCGCTGCCTCTTCTGGTTACCTGGTAACACTGCGGCGCCTTGGGTTTCTAAGTGGAGCTGGAATTTCAACCAAGGTGAATTTTCTGAGATTCAGGATCTCAAGARCTCACTGCCGCCGCAGGGGCTTCATACACTGCAGGCAAGAGATGGATGGCAGGGAGCCACAAGGAGCCAGGCAAACCTGGGCTGCCTTCAGCTGGAGTAGCCAGGTGGCTCCAGGGAATTCCCTTCTGCGTGCCTCAGTTTTCCCTTCTATTAAATGGGAGTGAGACTTCTCGGATGAAAACAAAATTATTTGCAAAGACCCAGTAAGAAGATGGGTGCAAAAAACAATGTCCAACAGGAAAGAATTATTTATACCCGAGCCTTTAACCATTGTGTGGATCAAAGGATCACGGTCATTTTTAGGCAGTTTGGGGCATTTCAGAGCACAGAAGGAAAGAGCAKCATTTAAGTCCCCAAACTGTTTCCCACTGGCTCTCGGGGGCACGTGTCAGACACTTCTCTACACTGGGAGGAGCCTAATTAATACTTAATAACGCCTCGCTCTGGTCCAGTTAAGGGTGATTGTCTCACCAATATTAAAGCAGAACAGCTCAGCTCAGACTCCTGTTTTCCTTCAACCAGGGTCCCCAGGGGCATTGTTAAAAAGTGCTCCTGCTGTGTCTTCTGAATTAAAGATGGCTTTAGGGCAGCACAGAATGAGGTGTCACCGTGGCTAGGAAAAGGAAACATCTCCCTGTCTACACCTTCAGGCCTTACCAAGACACAGGCGGGGTGGGGGTGGGGGTGTCCCACAAGCAAGTCAGCACAGAAGGTGACAGGGCACGGGTGTCAGGTCTGATGGTGTATGACACAAATGCTGGTGGGAAGGACAGCTGAGCTGGGGGGCCAGGACGCCTGTCGCTGATGAGGTCATGAAAAGCAGCTTCTGAATTGCTCCCGTTTGGCCCCAAGTACATCTTTATTCCTGGGGACTGAGCCTGGGGAGGGCCTCAGAGCCCATAGATCAGAATTGAGAGGCTGTCACATTTACTTGTCATTTGGTAATTTTCAATGAATTAGGGGTCTGGGGTTTCCATCTGCCATCTGTCCTTACTCTGGTAACCATGACAACCACCATCTGCCTGACTATCAAGTCCTGTCCTGAAAGAGCACTGGATAGGGTGTCCCTGGGAGCTAGTCAGCCTTCACTGGACATCCTGGACAAGTCCCCTGCCCTTGTTGGGCCTCAGTCTCCTCTGCATAATAGAAAATTCATTCTACATGTCTTTTAAAGTGTCTTTCACTTAAGAACAGAATACCACTCTAGGGAGAAATGATCTGAGACCATCAGCACTGGGTGGATTCTGGGGGAACCAGGTCAGCATTTCTTACATCTCCTGAATGTGGACTGTTACCTGTCTGCAGACAAAGAGAACTGTCTGTGAATTTAATGCTGAGGAAAGCAGATTATTTAAAAAAAAAAAAAAAACCAAGTGTTAGGCAAGGACAGGACCATTTTAGTGCCGCAGGACAGAAACAAGAGTTTGAGGGAAAAGGGACCTAAACAATAGCTCCCCGGGGGCTGACCTGGCCAGAGAGGAGAAAGAAGGCCACTCAGAAAGCCCCCCAGCTCTGTCTTGCACCGGGAGCCCAAGGAGGAATAGCCATGGCCACTTCCTGTCAACTGGGACTGCACAGAGCGGCACATGGTCTTTGTTTCGCAGCCAGGAGACATCCTGCCCCATTTCCAACAAGCCCTTGAATCYCCTGGACTTGAGTACATCCACCTGGAATACGTTGGAGAGGTAGGGAATATCACAATATTAGATGCTTCTTAAGGCCTGGAAAAAGCTTCACCCAACCCTGAGGCTTCCATCTTGAAGCCTATGTCATTACACTGACTTAGGCATTTAGCCTGTACTTGGTCTCCAGGTCCAGGCCAGAATTCCTCCCCAGAATTGAAGCCCAGGGTAAGCCACGTTCCTGTGGACTCACCAGCCACAGACTTACTCACCCTGAACTCTCCACTGCCCTCTCCAGGCAGAGTAAACATGAGCCGTTCTCCAAAACCTCATGGGTGGGTCATGTCCGCACTAAGGCAAAGTGGGCTAGCAGAGCAGGGTGCTTTGCTGGACATTCCTGTATACTAATGTTTTGGTTTATTTCTATTTGATTTTTAAAAATTACACAGAGAATTACACAGGCAATTATGGCACCCAGATATGGTTGTATGGCAATGTTAATGAAGTTTAAGTTTYTAAGTCCCTGGCAATTCATAATTTTCTATTCCTTTCCTTAAAGCAGGACTTTTCCAGTTGTATGTGTGTTAGACCCACAAAACCTGGGTCTGCCTCTGATTGTGCAATAATCTTTTCAGAGCTTAGGTCTCCAAAGGGCTCAGCTGTTCTGGGTGGCAGCTCCCTTAGGATCCTAGACTGGGCCTCCCACAAAACCAGGATCCCTGGTGTTCTGTCCTGACTACTCCCGAGTTCCTCCTAGGAGCTCCTGCTTGTCCAGCAGCCTCACCTCTTCTTCCTCTCCTTTCAAACAATCCACCTGGCACAGGACACCTGGGAAGACCCAATGAGAAACCCTCTCCTCAGTTCCCAGTTTCCCTGGGACAAAGAGGCCAGCCTGCAAATCACTGTATGAGCAGGCACCTAAGTACCAAAGAGGGCAGCAGGCTTATCAAAACTTCCTCTCTCTCCAGGGTTGGTGTCTCCAAGCACTTGATAAGCGAGCGCAGGATGTGAATTTCCACCCTGGTCTCCCTGAACACCAGCAAAATGCGAAATACTGTTCCCCAAGAGGAAACTGAGGCCCCAGGCAGCCAGATCCACGGTTGTGCAGAAGGATCCTTTGCCCCCCATCCTTGAGAATTGGGGTCCCACTTTCTCTACCCGCCAGGGCCCTGGGGCTCTAGAAGACTCACCAAACTCGCAGGGGCCGTCGCGTGCCTTATGAAGGTGGCTGGAGTGCGCGCGGAGCGCGTGCCTGGCGCGCAGACGAAGCKCGCATACACTGGGGTAGGAGCGGCCGTCGGAGCCACAGACAGGACCGCGCTGAGCACACACGCAGAGCCCGGTGCCCTCGGGCGCCGCCCCTGCGGCCCGGCTGGCGCACACCAGGCCGGGGCCGCAGCGCGCGCCTGCCCGCCCSCCGCAGCTGGCGCCCTCCGCGCCCAGGCAGCGCACGCAGCAACCGCACTCGTCGCGCGCAACGATCCCAGGCTCGGGGCAGCGCGCGGGCGCGGGGCAGTTCTCTGAGCGGCACGGACCGCACTCCGGGTGCCGACCGCCAGCGTCCCGGAGCCCGAGGCTGGGGACCAGCGGCGGCAGCATAAGCAGCAGCGGGAGTAGCGGCGACAAGCGCAGCATGGCCTGCTCCGAGACGGCAGTGGCGCCTCTGCTTCGCGCTCGGCTTCGTGCGTGCGGCGCAGCCACCCCGCCCGCCCCGCGGCCGCTGATTGGCCGGGTCTGCACCGCGGGGTGTCAGCCGGCTGCAGCCCGGACCCCGGACCCCAGCAGCGCTGTGGCCTCGCCGGCTGCCCGGGTCTCGGAGCCAAAGGCATATTGCAAGACCAGCTTTCCGACATCCGATTAGACTCTCAGGGAAACCAAGACCCAGTCGGAGCGGGAACTTTCCTGAGGCTGCTGGGGTGGAATCGGCATTGGATGCCCCGGCTTCAGCTGGCTCCAAATATTACATTACAGGAGGACGCGCTCTTTTATTTTACATTCAGTATATTTTCAGAATTTTATTTTTAATAGGGAATATGTGGTTGAATTTTTCAGATTTTACAAGAAGACGAATGATGAAAACAGGGTTTCTCTCTTATCCTGAATCCCACCCCCTATTCTGGTTTATAAAGGCCAGTCTTGCTATCAGGTTCTTAGATATATAATGTTTTGTGTCTATTAAAACATTTATGATTTATAAGCTCTCTCCTTTAAAATATTTCACAGCTTCCCCACCGTGTATCATCTCTGAAATCCAGCCTCTTGTACAATTGATGGCATGGTTTAATTGGTGGTGTGTGTTTCTTAATGCTACATAAATTCATGACATAGCTTATGGTCATGGGTGACTTCATTTAGATGAGCTCCAGTGATATATTTTGGAGTTCAAGTGAAAGTAGCCTTTGGGCAGTTAAGTTTTGCAGTGTTTGGTTGCACACAATCGGAGTTATTGAAACTGGTTGTTTTCTGTTCTTTTGTTACTGCAAACAATGTTCCAATGAAGTCCTRGTGCACAAGTGTCAGGGTGCCTGAGGTCCCCTGGGGAAAGCATGTTGGAGAGATGCTGCCCATAAACCTACTCTGATCTGGGCTCTGTGCACCCCCTCTGGCCTTAAGGAAGTCTTGGCTGCTGGAATTTGAGGAGCAGCCAAGTTAAGATGCTGAACGGAGAGAGGAACTTGCTGGCCAGGCTTTCTGGGAAACTAGAAAATAGGTGGCTCCATAGGTAGTGAGCTCCCTGTCAATGGAAAAGTTCAAGGATGTCTTGCTACCTCATATTTGCCCTGGGCTGTCTTTTTGTTTGTCTTTTCCTTTCTTTCCTTTGCTGAGCTCCTAGAGTGGAGAAAGCCTCTGGTGCCTGGGAAGACCAGCTATAACACTGTTGGGTGGTGTCCAGTTTGCTCCCCAAGCCCAGTTCTTTCCGGGTTTGCAGTTTTCCAGGGAGTGTTCATATTCTCAGAAAGGAGCTCCTTTGGAGGACACTTTTTGTGTTAGGCAGAGCAGAGCCACCTGGCCAGTCGACTCTAGTTCTTACCTCATAATCAGCCACCTAGAGTAGAGATGGTCAGGGGCCACAGGGGTGGGAGGAAGCAGTGATGAGGAATAAAGGTGACCATGTTGGTAAAGTGCCCGGCTCAGCTCTCAGTACTTACTAGTGGTTACTTTCCGTCACTGTCTTTACCTGGAATGGCCTTTTAACCGGTTCACATCCCTTGACTTTCTGTGCCCGTCTGTGAGTCTCTCCTTGGGAGATATTCATTCTGGGTGAAGATTTCCTCYTGGAGTTGGTCACTACAGCAAAAGCTGGAGCCAGGTGTGGTGATGCATGCCTGTAATCCCAGGAGTTTGGGAGACTGAGGCAGGAGGATGACGAGTTCAAAGCCAGCCCCAGCAACAGTGAGGCGCTAAGCAACTCAGTGAGACCCTGTCTCTAAAAAAAATACAAAATAGGGTTGGGGATGTGGCTCAGTGATCAAGTGCCCCTGAGTTCAATCCCTGGTACCCCCCCCCCAAAAAAAAAAAGTTGAAACAACCTACCCGCCCACTGGCAGGCAATAATTAAATAAACTATGGATTATGCAGGCATTAAGGAAGGAGAGGAAGGAGAGGTAGGTTAGTTGGAATAAAAAGATGTTTATAGTATATCGTTTAGTGAAATGGCAATTGTAAAGTGTACATCTAGTGTGGTAGCATATTTTTACATATGTGAATGTGTTTGTATGCAAAGAATTTTAAGATGGTTTAATGATGTAAAGGAAACACTTATAATGTTAGTGGAACAGAGCAGGACTGGGAAACAAAAAGATAAATCCTACGCTGTATTTCAGGGACATCCTACCTGGTATGTTCAAACTTGAAAATGATTCATGATTGTCCAAAGAGAAAATAGGTGGCTCCATAGGTAGTGAGCTCCCTGTCAATGGAAAAGTTCAAGGATGTCTTGGCTAGAAGCATGGAAAGGGGGTCAAACCTTTAGGAGCTGAGCGAGATGATTTTTAGTCTCCTCAAACTAAACCACCATTCCCATAGTACAAAGCCCGACCTGAGAAATAGACCAGACGGAACGTGGCAAATGCATAGAGCAATGATTGGCTCCCTTTTTATGCAAATATTGAGGGAGCAGTAACTGAATGATGTTATTATTAAGAAATTAATGTATGCTTAATKCGAGTTGGAATATACAATCCCACAGCGGTACATTTACATACCATCTACATTCCTTTTAAATGGTAGGGAGAACATTATGTTTGCATAATGGCGCTGAGAATTAAAGCAAGACTCATTTTCCAACACTAAGCCTGGGGCATCAAAGTCTGAGTATCTGGGTGGAGAAAACATTCCAAAGCTTTGAAGGAAGATCTGCAGTGTCTGGTTTCTTTTTTAAATCACCCACAAACCTACTGCCATCAGATAGTTCTTTCCCTCCCTGAATCCCAAGGTACCTATTAACACTGTGGGCCACACCTGCAGTGCCCTGCAGGATGATGGGAAACAGAAGGGACAATTCTCCCAGCAGGGAAGTGGGTTGAGGTGCCCTATTGTCTGGCAGGTGGTAAGATCCCAGGCATGGGGGCGGGGCAGGGGTGGGGGGTGGAGGCTACTCTGCATGGAGGGTGTGACTTCCACCTCCTCTGCTTATGGTCTGGACACAAAGGACCCAGGGAAAACTAGTTAGAGCCCCACTTAGATGCGTGCACACCCTGTAGCTTCTGAAGCAAAAGTGAATGTCTCCATTCATTTCTCCAGTTTTGCATGGAGAGAAATGGCGGGAGCCTTTTATCCCTGTCCTTGGGGAGCTTCCAAGAGAAAGAAGACAGGAGTTCAAGTGAGCAGCCTCTCCATGAACAGGCCATGCATTTGAATCTTAAGCTGAACAGACAGGCCACTCATAGAAGGCCCTGCTCCAGGCTGAGAGGCCATAAAAATCCACGTCTTCAGGCCTCCCATGGGCCACTCCAGAGCAGGGGGAGAGGTGTGTTTCCAGCGGAAAGGCCCCTGAGTGATGGGCAGGGATTGTCAAGGGACAGATTTTGCTTCCATGCAGTGTACGAGGGACATGGCAAAATGCAGATGGGGAAGACAGGAATTCAGCTGCTGAGCAGCCAAAAAAGAATGACAGGGGACTTTCCCCCCTGCCATTAACAACTGTGAAATTGGATAAAATGAATAAATCTACATGGGCAGGCACTGGACAGGGTTCTGACACAGGGCAGTGGTCCCTGAGAGGGAGGATGGGGCCACATTTCCTTGGGGTCACCCCTGGGGATGCCTTCTAGGCCACAGTGCAGGGAGGTGGGCAAGTGGTCCTCAGGGTCTGGCTTTACAGGGGAACTGAGATTTGGGGGGTGTAAGACACAAAAGAGGGAGGAGCCACGGAGAGGCGGCACCAGAAGCTTAGACCTTCGCCWTCTCTGTATCGCACAAGTACTGGGTGACCTGGTGTGGAGTGGCTGCAGGGTCTGAGAGATTCTGGGGCTCACAGACTGCTGAGGGGATGCTGACAGTCAGGTCCGCTCCAAATGGGCTGCCCCAGCCCCACAGGGTCCCTACTCCAAGTTCAAAAACACTCCCATAGGCCAAGTAGCAGACTCCTGCAAAGGTGTGTTTCAGCCCCAAGGACCCCTCCTATGGGCTTCCAAGTTTTAAAAATTTCAACTTTCCCTTTGTWCTAATCTTAGTGGTGGTGACTGTCTCTACAGTTGCTTACTAAGTTGATACTTCTTTATAAGAAGCTCTGCGTGTTACCTAACTAGGCCCTGAGTGACATCTCTATGCCTACCAGAAGTGGTCCCGGGAAAGAACCCTCAAACAGGAGTCACCGTCAAATAACTGCAGAGCTCACCTAGAAATAAGCTCCCATGGTAGTGTTAAGTCATTTATTTAAAAAATATAAGAATTATGTTTCTTGTAGCTGCAGGTCAGTATTCCTGAAAATGACAAATACAATTTAAGTATGTGGGCTGCATGATTCTAGCATAAGTTGAATTTACAGCCTTGCCMATCTGTTGGGACACTGATTAATGTTACAGAGTGAGATCCACCTCAGTGACCATGGGGGTCTGCAACCACTGGTTCTTGCAATCTTCCATGAAGAATTCATGAAAGTGAGTCACACCGTAGTAACAGCAGGAGTTCATTAGAAGAGAAAGGAAAAGGGATCCTCTCAAGGCAGAAAGAGAGTGCATCCTCTCAGAGGAGAGAGGGACAGTGTGCCCCTCCTGCCCTCCTGTTTCATCGGAGGTCCCAGGTCCCACTCAGGTCCACCTCTCCACTTTTGACTAACAGCAGGATTGCATCAGACTTTCGAGTCCTCAGTGTGCATGGTGGCAGGGAGATTTTTACYATTTKAATGACATGCTAAAGATCCAAGGCCTCTCTGGGTTACTTTGTCCCATGCTGACCAGTTCTAATTGGGACTTATTCTTACAGATTTTGTGGTTGGGGGACTTTGCTTCTAGTTATCTGGTCTCCTTGAGTCTTGGATCTGGTCTATGTCAAGGTCACAAAAGTCCCCCCCCCTCTCGCCCCCCCAGAGTAACTTATATTCTTCTTATTGGTACAGAGAATTCTTTGAATCCACATTTCTCCTACAGAGAACATGTTGTTTGCTGAGGAATGTAACATCTCCTAATGACTTA